TCTATGATCTAATTTACATTTAGACACAACAATCCAATTTTAGGCACACGCATGGTTTACATAGTATCTCCACATTTGTTTTATAGTTGCAAATTGAACATCCACGATGGCAAATTGTAACATACACAGTACATTTTCTGTTGTGAGTTTCTTCGTGATGAAAGCTGAATTCTTTAAACATCTTTGTAGTCTGTAGAAAAAAGATAAAATGCCGTTGAGATCAAATTCATGTTTTTTTTTTGTAGTGTGCACGTTTACAATATAGCGTATGTAATGGGCACGAGCATCGCAACACATGATGATGATGGCGATGACTCGTCACAAGTCAGAAATGAATGTTGTGAATATAATTTTGCCGTGGATTGAAGAGGGTCAATGACGATTGAGTAAATGCGTTTCACGCTTCACACATCCCGTGAGGCGAAAGCTGCAGGATCACTGAGGCGCTGTTCAGGTTTATTGCATCTCCCCCCCCCCCATTCCTTTCTCGGGAATAATTCAGCCCAAAACTCAGTTGCATTGACCTGCCGTTTTTTTCGAGTGGTATGGCAATCACTCTGAAAGCGGCCTACAGTATTTACAAAACTTATAGTCAAAGCATCTCTCTCTACTCAAGAGAGACATTTTGCAGCATTCGGTTTCATTGCTGGCATTGAGCCAGTGGTGGAACACATTCTTCATTTCCATGGTTATTATTTTGTATCGTAAGGTGCAATTTGCAATGAAGAATGTGTATATTGAGGTTATAGGGCCATGCGCTAGCCTTTGTAGAGCCTTGGTGGTTGCCGATGATACTGAATCGGCAGCGAGGGGATGGCAGTGCTGGATCACATATGTGTGTATGTATGTTGAACTTCTTTCCCACTGAGTGTGGGATCACGTGACCCATGGTCTGGCTCTGGTTAACCACAGCAGTCACATTGCCGAATGTTTCTCATTTTCCATCGATGATGGAGGTGACCGCAGCTGCCGTTGTCCTGTTCTGCAGCTGTTTTGGGTTGGGTAGATCGAACTCGGGAAGTTCCATGGTGTGAGCCAGTTTTTCTCTTTTGAATACTACCGTTGGAATTCGACAAAGTGGGTTCTGATTTTACTTGATGTGGAGGGATGACAGCCCGAGTTAACCCCTGCATCAAAACTGAAGATGCGTTGGTCGTGAAGCACTGTCAGCAATACACACGTGAACAAAAGCCAGCTTCTCTTTAATCCCGAGTAGCATCGTAGGTCAATGCTTCACAAGAGCATTTGATTTCGGCAGGCACATTTTCTTCTGGGTCTCATCACCGGAGTCAGGCTTTCTAAACCAATGTTGCTATATTATGCCAGATGTTATAAGTAGGAGGCGTTCGCCAACGCTGCAGGGTATGTTTAGCACAAATCAAAACACTGCATCAAACTAGGGTTGTCAAACGACACACGGCAACCGTTTTTTAATAACGAGTGGAGTCATCCATCTTCGTTACCACCACCAGCCAGCCAATGTCTATACTGTCATCATCATCGTCTGCATCTATCAAGGTGCATCACCCTAATCATCATCAGCCAATGCCTATAATCGCTATCATGATCAATATATTCTCCGCCACAGTCGTAATTAATATTTTAACGTCACGGGGTGAGTACGGAGGAGAGAAGAAGTCATTTACATCATCATTGTCCTAATGCAAATATATTTGAAACACCACATTGTAATTCGCCAAGGGACGATCGACCGTTCTCTCCACGAGGCCAATCCCATACGGGCAGTCCTCGACTTACGAAGACGATTAGTTCTTGAGACACATTCGAATGTTTTAATGGAGAAATTTGAAACAGATGCCATCCAGACGTCCACCCTACGTCCTTCCTTGTGGTAGAGATATGTAGATGACACTTTCGTCATTTGGCTACATGGCCTGCTAGCTAAGAACCAATTTCTCAACCACATCAAATCTATACACCGAACCATCAAATACACCATGGAAGTGGAGACAGATGGTAAGCTACCTTTCCTGGATGTTTTGTTTGAGAAGAGGCCTGACGGCTCATTGGGACACTCTGTCTACAGGAAATCCACCCACACAGATGCCTATCTGAAACCTGATTCCCACCACTATCTGGCACAGAAGAATTCCCTTATCAAAACACTACACCATAGGGCCCACTGCATTTCCGACCAACACCACTTAGCCAGTGAACTGGAACACGTACACCAGGCCCTCAAGATGAATGGGTACTCGGACCGCATTATTTGCCAACCATGGAGAAACAACCCCCTGAGAATCCAATCAAAACCATAATGTTACCATACATAGCAGGTGGTACCAAAAAGATTTCCAAAATCTTAAACAAACACAAGATCCAGGTCCGATTCAATGCAGTACACAAAGTCCGTGATCTAATCCCATCTGTGAAGGATGACATTCCTGACATACAATATCCTGGAGTTTACAAACTGAGTTGTACCTGCGGCAGCAGTTACATCAAAGAAACAAAACGACATGTCTCGGACCGTGTCCGTGAACACAAGGCAGATCTGAAACACGGCAGAACCAATACCTCTGCCATAGCTGACCATTGTTATAACGCTGTGGACTCGCATGATATTGTTTTTTCCGAGACCAAGGTACTCTGCAAACCTTCGGGCTACTATCAAAGGTTTGTTCATGAAGCCATCCAGATATATAAACATAGACATAACTTCAACCGAGAAGATGGATACAAATTGAGCAATCACTGGAAGGATGTTATGAACCAAGTAAAATCCTAACTGTTTTTATGGTTGTTATCTTTCATATCTGCCGGGTACTAGTCTATTTTTCCGAGTTAACTTCACCCCCGCATCCCCAGCTCTCTCGGCCTCCCACTTCCCCCCCCCCCAGCCTCACGTCCCTCTCCTAGCGTCCACGCAGCGCTCCTCTTCCCCTACCCCACACCCCCCTCTCTCCCCCCTTGTCCCTCCCCTCTTTCTTACCTATATAACCTCTTACCACGGCAGCTCTCTCTCCCACTTCAGCAAAACAAATTATTGCTGTGGTTTTCCCACCTGATGATGATTTCTTGTGTTGCAATCGAAACGTCGTGATTTAATTTATTTTATACCTACGTGACTTTACCGAAATAACCAAAGAGTACACGTTCGTAAGTTGAACGGATCGTAAGTGGGGGAGCCTTTAAGCACGAGTCTTTGTAAGTTGACGACTGCCTGTATTTGTAAATGGGTGAGTGGCTTGAATCGGCCAATTAGATGGCAAAATATCCATCGCATCTTGACAAGAAGTGTCCAAATAAATTCTCGTCGATTTATTTAATCGATTCTATTGGAATTTGCTACTTGTGTTTTCATAACAGATGTTTTTTAACTCCTGGATTTATTTTGTTAAATACAAACGTTCTCTAAGGAACAATGTTTTAAGTGTGGTGCCAGCCTCAACGTGCCCAAACAGACCAGCCATAAATGGAGATGCAGAGTTCTGCGCATGTGATTAGTAGATGCAAAAACAGAAACGCAGGTGGCATACACGATTTCAGCCATATACTAGAATTACGCTGCAAGAGCATGTTGTTCTTGGGCATTACATGAACACCACAACCATGAGTCTAGGTGCTGACACATTGACACAAATATACTCAAAAACACATATACAGGTTACAAAAGACAAAGACCCCCCCCCTCCTCCCCCCGTTTAGTCTTAACAGAATGCTGGGGCAAGTGCTGTTAGTGAGCACCTATGACAGCCGGCACAGCACATGAGGGGGTGGGTGGCCAGCACCACACCCGGTCACCTTTGTCTCCCCAGTGTCGATATTTACACAGTACAGCAGGTGCTCATGTTGAGGCCGAGTCGACCTAGGGGAGAGCCATGCCCGGTTCTGATAATAGTCACTGATGGTGGCTGTGAGTGGGAATCGAATCCGGGTTACTGGGTTCATAGCACAGTGTGGTAACCACTGCACACGCAAGTAATAATAATACAAACTTGCATACAGGCACATACGGAATAATTATTTTTGAATGCTGAAATACACAGCAATGAATGCAACACGCAATTATATACACAAGCATATGTACATGCGTGCATTTCATCCACATGCATGCAAGCAAGCAAATGTGCATGCATAAATGTGCGCATTAACACACGCATGCCTACGCGATCTTTTAGCGATGCAGGTCGCAACGTATGAATGCAGTCACACGTTAATGAGGGCACGGACGAGGTGCACGGTAAAAAATATGTATGTGCCGGCACGTGCCCACGGTGAATTGCATGGGCCCGCGTGCACGCACAGACACGTACACAAGCGCTTGCAGCGCTCCCACGTCCCCAACATTCATTTTACTGCCTCCCATTCTCGGCTGCCAACGGAATTCTGGGCAGCCTGCCCGGCTGGCCAAATGGTGTGGGCTATAGCCTTGCCCGGAGAGAGAAACACGGTCATGAAAAGTGTGTTAGCGGTTTTAATGCCATCCATAATATTGACATTGTAAAAAAAAAAAACATTTGGAAAACACTAATATAATATTGTATTTGCAACTATAGTACAGTATATGCATATATACACGTATATACACATACATACCCAGATAGTTAATGGAAATATTATCAAGTCAAAGTGTATTTCTCACAAAAAGATAAATAATAGTTTAGAATTTGTAACGTGCAGTTTTCATTCTCTCAGAGAGATAATTATTTCCGAGGTGCAGGAAACCAAAGACAAGTTTGAAAGCAGGCAGAATTGCTTTCAACGATTGCCCGAGCTCTGCGGTCCTATATTGGGATGTTTGGCCAACTCCATTATTCAGCGTTTATTCACATGGGAGGAAACCGGAGTATCCTGACGAAATCAACGCATGCGAAGGTGGGGTGAGGATGGTGACACTCAATCCCCCTGCTGACGGAATTCATTCCACTTGCTGTGCTACCGTACTCTTAGCAACACAGGAGATGCCTCTTTGCCAGGGTAATGCAGTACAGCATCATGAAGCATTGTGTTCATCTTCTTCCCCACTCCTCCCCCAGCTGGGGCGTACCAGGCAGGTGGGATGCCTGCGGTGGTGCGGGCTCACGCGCCGATGCTGCGCTCCGGCCTCGCGATGAAGCCCTTCTTCAACTTCCCGCTTGCGTCCCTGGGATTCTACAGCAACTTCCACGCCGTGAGTCGCACGCGAGTCAACAACAACAACAACAACCGCGACCGGCATTCGCCACTAAGTGGCGAGTCAATGCGTGCGTACACCGTGCGTGCGTGCATTGCACCAACGGCTACATGCACGGTCCGTTCTCCTATAATGCGTGTGGGATTAATTTATTAGAGAACAATTTTTGTATATAAAACGCCGATGTGAATTGGATATAACGCGATTGAGTGAACAGAACCACGTCACAGTGAGCAGGAATAAGCGGTTGTACGGCTGTCTCGGCGACGCATCATTACTACAAGGCGGGATGCTGCTGGATGCTTGTAGATGCTACCCAAGCGCCTCAGTCTTTGTTTAGCCTGCACACGCATCTGCCGTGTTATCGCGGACTGCGCTTTACCCTATATTATATACTAGCTTTACAACCCGGCTTCGCCCGGGACTTGGATTCACCACGCTCAGCCGCCTTTGTCTCCCCAGTGGCGATGTTCACACACCACACCAAGTTACTCGTTTGAGGCTGAGTCGACCTAGGGGAGACCCAGGTTCGGTTCAAATAATCGTCACCGGTGGTGGCCGTGAGTGGGAATCGAACTCGGGTCGCCGGGTTTTTAGCGCGGCGCGCTAACCACTACACTGCAATGCGTTACGCTTCCACACACACAGACACACAGACAGACACACACAGACACATACACAGACAGACACACACAGACACAGACAGACACACACACAGACACACACACAGACAGACACAGACACATACACCGCGCTAACCACTACACTACAATGCGTTACGCTTCCACACACACATAGACACACACACAGACACAGACAGACACACACACAGATACAGACACACACACACAGAGACACACACACAGACACAGACAGACACACACACAGACACAGACAGACAGACACACAGACAGACACACACACAGCGCGCTCACCACTACACTACAATGCGTTACGCTTCCACATGCGCGGGTCACGTGACAGATTTGACGTCATAGCTCACTTGCCGTGCAAAATATATATACATTATTGAGCTCCCCCCCTCCCCCCCAAAAAAACAAAAGTGTATTTTTATAATGTTTGCATGGTGTACAGTCTGGAAAGTACCCACATGTCAAATTTCAAGTTTGTTGCATGTCGGGAAGTACGCTAAACATTTGGAACAGACACACATAGTCACAACTTTGCCTTTTATATATGGAGATTATTACTTATAACGCGATGTTTCCATAACTCGGTGTTCTTCAGGAACACAAACTACCGTTATAGCAGAACAGAGTGCATGTTGTGCGCATGTGGGGGTTCGCAGCTGCCAACACGGGCCGCGCAAATGATTGTATGTTCATTAGCATTGACGCAAACAAAAACAAAGATCCCCCGTATAGCCGTGACAGACTGTTGGGGCAAGTGCTGTTAGCGAGCAGCACCTATGAAGGCCACCGGCACTGTGGCACACGAGGGGGTGGGTGGCCAGCACCACGCCCGGCCGCCTTTGTCTCCCCAGTGGCGATGTTTACACTCAGCAGGTACTCATTTGAGGCTGAGTCGACCTGGACACAAACACACACACTCGAACACACACACGTACACACATATACACACATAAACACAATGAAATACTGTCATTCAACTTCATAAATGAAGGAGAGAGCTTCCTCTGAGAGATTGGTATTGCCTGTATCACACCAGGCAACCTTTGTCTTCACAGATGCTCATTTTAATCCATGTCAACAGAAAGCATGCCCAGAATAAGGTTCACATACTGATTTACAAGAATGTGCATGTATGTATTTATACTGAACTTCTTCTGCACCGTGCACAATATTCACCACCACCCTGCACATTCACACATGCACAGGCATACACAAAAGAGACAGACTCCCCCGTATAGCCTTTAGCAGACTGCTGGAGCAAGTGCTTGTAGCGAGCAGAACCCGTGAAGATTATCACGGCACGCAAGGCGCTGGGTGGCCAACACCGCGCCCACCCACCTCTGTCTCTCCAGTGATGATGTTTATCCACTGCAGCAAATACTCGCTTAAGGCTGAGTCGACCTAGGGGAGGCCCAGGACCGCTTTAGATACTCACCACTGATGTTGGCTGTGAGCGGGAATCGAATTCGGATCACCGGGTTCATGTCGCAGTGCGTTAACCACGACACCACCATTGCACAGACACACACGCGCTCGCTTATGGTTTGTATAATCGTCACACAATAATGCAAACCTGCTCATTAGCGCATGCACACACACTTGCTTATAAGTTTACATAGATATAATTGTACCGATTTCATCGTGTTCCAATTGCTTTCAATTAAACGTTGGTTTACAAATGCTCACGATGCTGTTTGTTATATAATGAGCCCGTAAACAGTAACGGTAATAATACTGTAACAACGTTTCCCTTGGATGTTTGTGCATTTCTTACAATGTAATGCCTTTGTTTTTAAAATCTTTAATGTTGAGAGCTAAACATTGGACACAGACCTCTGAAATATTGAGGCCCCAAAATACATACACAGCTATACCCCGATTTACGTCTCCCCTTTTTAAGTCGTTTCGCAAATACGCCGTCACTTTATTATTAACACCGCTACCTGATTTGCGTTGCCTCAACCCCCACACTTACGTCGCTGACAGCATCATCGTCCGTCCTGTCTCGTTATCCGTCGCCTCTCAGCCTTCCCCTCCACGTACTGCCCTGCAAATCGCTTCGATTTACGTCGTTTAGATATTCGTCGTCGCTCCTTTCAGGAACGCATCCCGGAAGTGAAAACTGGGGTATTACTGTAGATAAAAAAAACACATGGTGTCAGACGTTAGTTAACCTTGCAGCAGCAAATGTCCGTCACATGATGTCACCCCAATTCTGATACAGAGGTACACATGTCAATCCCAAAGGGGTCAAATCAATGAGACCCCTCCTGAAAAAAGAAGAACACGTGTGGAGAAAAAAAGGCAGGAAACTGAGGCAACCCCCCCCCCCCAAGAAACTGAGATAAAATTCCAAGATATTGTGGCACAAACATTTAACTGTCCGCCAGTTAAGGGGGAGTCCACTTTTTGAGAAAAGGGGGGTGAGGTTACTAAATGAGTTTGCTCAGCAGCAATAGGTGAATGCACACCACTTAGAGAACCCGCCACAATAACCTTGGGTAGTTGCTATGTTAACTACCTCGCCTGGTATACAGGAGGTCGTGGGTTCGATCCAGGCCCTGACACCTGTATATTTGGAGTTTGCATGTCTCTCTTCCCCGTGGTTGCGTGGATTCTTCTCCAGGTCCTCCGGTTTTCCCCTCCACATTTAGAATCAACGTGCATTCAGATTATTTGGCTACTATGAATTTTCATCGTGATAAGCCACTTCGTTGAGCTATCATTTGTGGCCAGGTCGATTCTAAAAAAAGAGCTACGTAGCTCAGTAGGTCTTACCTGGTCAAATAAAAAACAGTTTTTTTGTGTGTGTAGTTTTCCTGCTTTTGTCTCATAGAAAGGTTGTGAGTAAAGACAACACTTTTTGAGCTGACATGAGACCTGAACGATCGGCAACAGCCGCTGGTGCACTGCAGCCAATAGGGCCGGGTGAGTTATTCACAACAGGTAAACTATAACAACAAACACTGCGAGAATCCATGGCATGCCCGTGAGATGCTTAACATTGTGAAAGAACCATGAGCCTCAAGAAAGACTTAACATGTGTCCAGGGGGAAATATATAATATTTAACTTTATTTGATTTGCCTACACGCATGTATCATATAACATTTAAATGCGAACAAAACATTATTGAATGCAATGTGCACTTTAGTATGTAATACCGGAATGTATGTACTATTCATTCTGTAGGTGCGCGGGAAGGACAACAAACTAAACACAAAAAGCAGTTCAAAAGAAACAGAGTTTTCAATCTAGATGATTTAAAAGTGCATAGCGCCCAGTGGCTTCCTAATATCGGCAGGAAGAGCGTTCCAGACGGCCGCTGGAAGCGCATCTTAAAGCGCGCGATGCGATGACCGTCATTGTTCGATGACTGGAGCTCGCGTGATGATTGATGCTCCTTCACCGAGAGCAAAATATATATATATACACACACACACACAGTGCGCATATATTGCGTGATTTATCTTTCAAAACAGAGATTACGACCCGGGGATGTGTCTTCATGAGTCTTGTTAACATAAGCAGCGGGGATGTTGTTGGAAGATTAAGCCGGAGGAGAGAGGAAAGAAACGTCGACGTTGGCCAGCGAAGCCATCAGACTCACGCCACCACCACCCCACTCCATAGACTGCTTCTCTTGGGCATCCCCATTGGCCATATTGCCGTTGCTTCATACACTTCAAGTGGGAATTGCCAAGGACGTGATATCGCGGTGTGTATCAAGCAATGACGGAAATGCTGTTGCTTACAGCCATTCGCGACGTTGTCCCAAGTGCATAATTTGCGCATTTGTCGTGAAATTGTAATCCTGCAACTCCTCGGCGATGCGAGGACACTGCGCTTTGATTTAAAGAGGCCTCCGTTGTTGAATAATTCGCGTGCGATGGCACGTGATTGACGGGAGACAACGTGTGATGTGTGCCTCTGATGTCGATGCATCACGGTCTCATTGCGGAGAGTCTTCCTCTTCACGTATTCTCCTCCGTACAGATATTAATTGGGTAGAAAACTATCAATGCAGCTGCTGTCTTGCGGGCACGATTAGAGAATCTCACGGAATCGTGGTGCATTCATTGCACTGCACACACAGCGTGGCAAGCAATCATGAGAAACATTAGCTCGTTGTTTTGTTTTTACTCCCGTGAGTTTAAAACATGTTTGTGCGTCATTGCGTCTTTGCTACGTGCGTATCACTCGACGCCCTGGACTCCCTTGCGAACGAAGATGCTCCCATCTCCAGGCGAAAGGTTTTAATTTGTAAGAAAATAAAGCAATTACAGCTATGTGTGTGTGTGTCCTGCCCGTGCGCAATACCGCCCTTAATAGCCAATGAGGTTTC